AGCAGTTGGAGGAGGGTGGTGTGACCAGAAAGGTTAATTTAGGTAGGAAAGAAAGAGGTAAATTTGCAATGGTACACCTACTGAGAATAATGAACAAATTATAAATTCATATTAATTTTTAGGCTGTGATGTATCTGAAGTCAGTATCTTATTACATATCATTACATTAGAATAAAGAACAACGCCAGTTCCTACAGGTCACTAACAGCTTGTTTGCAAATGGGCTGACATATAGTTGATGCCAAGAACACATAATTTCTTCAAAAGACAAAGCTCAACCTGTGAACCTTCTTTATGTGATTCTAAAAGTGTCAATAAGTTGGGCTAAACTATTCCATTCCCTAGCAGTATGCTGTCAAATATGGTTGAAATTCAAAAAAGACTCATCAATAATTTGAAAACATCCCACTCCTCCCCTTTTCAATTCTATTTTTACCTTGGATTCTAAATGCATTTATAGTACTGATGAAAAAAATATACATCTAGAAGGTTCACTTCTGAAAAAGGTACTCAATCAAGAGAAAAATTGTTTTAATGTAATGTTATTATCCTGTCATTTAATTTAGCAATGACAAGTGATGATGAGATTTTGATTTGCATCAGAAATCTTAAACATTTTAGGATTCTGTTATGAACAGGCAATGATGAGTAATCTGTGTGATTGAGTAACTATGTGAATTCTTGGCTTATTGATGCTGCTACAACAACACTCATAACAACCTTATAAAGAAAAAATATCCAATGTGGCTAAAAACAGGCCAAATAACTTAATTAGCAAGACTGTCACTAAAGAAACTTATGGCTCTCACTATATTTATACTTATATCTGGGTCACAATTTGCTGGTTTGAATAAAATATCTTTTATTATTAGCTGTGGGAAATCATGAGAAATGTATCACCAGATTATTATTGGGATGTATATGTATGCAGGGGAGGGTGGAATCAGGGTATAGTGGGTGTCTGATGTGGAAGCAGATGGCTGGAATTTAAGCTCATTTCTAAATAAATGATATTAACACAAGCACTGTATTAATTCATCAATCACTGAAATTCTTCACTCCTTTGGTATTTTACTATTTTCGCTTCCTTCTGCATCTTTCTCCTGCTCTTGCTTCTTTCTATTTCCAGTTGTAGATTTTCCCTATACAAGGACAGGGATAGTTTACTATGTTCTCCATTTTATCCAAAGGGACTGTCACTTAGCAGACATTGAACAGATAATTGCTGATAGAACAAAATCATTTAAGAGTCTCCCTTTGTCTCTTTTCTATGTCCCCCCTGTATACCATCCATTCTTGCTTCTGAATCGAGGATGCTGAGGTGGTGATTAGGGGAAGGAGGAGACTGGCAGGGATGACTGTACAAGTGTCTGGCAACAACAATTCCATGTTTAACCAGATCTTGCCCACTGCATTCCCAATTTTAGTAGCATCCCCTTCCATAAGCAAAAACTGTCTAAGTCATATTATTATTCCTTCATTCATGCAATAATCCAAAAATGTTGATTCAATGTTTCCTGATGTACAGGACAAGATCAACTTGCTAACAATGGGATAAAATCCAAGCCTAATGCAAGTAACAGATGAGTGAAAAAAAAATAACAAACTCTGTATAGAGCAAGGAACTTATCATGATCTGGTTTCTGTCTTTTAAAAGGAAAAATATATCTACAGTCATGCTTGGCCTAACCAGAGGATTTGTTTTGAGAAATGTGTTGTTGGGTGATTTTGTTGTTTCTGTCACAATAAGCTTTTGAGAGATCACCTTTGTATATCAGTCCATGGTTGACAGAAATGTCATTATGCACTGCATGACTGCATATGTTCTCATATGATATGTAAATGCACAAAAAATGAAATGTTTATGACAGAAATCCTGGTGGGTCTAAAATTTTCATGTTTTACTTTATATAATTATGCACATGTAAGTGTATACAACAAGAATATATTTGTGTATTACGGGATACCATTCATCACTACTAATTCATTGTCTTTCCTTATTTTCCAGTCACCTCTTCTTCCTGTGCACCAATTGGCTTCTTGCAGATGAACCTCATGGAGCTCTGCCAGGGCTGCATGCTTTCTACTCTGTTTGCTGTGGCTCTTTGGGCTGTACTGAAAGACTGAACAACCAGTTACTTGGAGGAATGTCAACTAGAGCATGTCAAATATCTTCATATGGGCTCTTCCTGTTTCCCTGCTTCAATTCCATTGCCCCCTTATTCTTGCTTCCTCCATTACATTGCTGAGTAGAGTAGGTGCACTAACCGTATCTTGTATGCTATGCTTCTGTTTAACATAAACTAAAATATTTTATTGCATATTTTTTTATAAAAGTAAATTTAAAGAGTAAAGAATGGAATAGAGAGAGCAATTGGAAAGTTAATTATAAACAGGCAGAAGCATTTCTGAATTTTAAATCCTAATTTACTTTGAATTAAGCTTTCCTAATTTTTGCCTTATTGAAATCATGAAATTATGCTGATGTTTAAGAAAGGAGCTGCAGAGAGCACAACCCCCTGGATTCAAGCATTACTCTTCTATCTAGCAGGGTGTTGAAGACAAATTAAAGTGCTCAAAGGGTGGAGGGAGGGCAGAAGCAGAAAAACACTGTTGCTACCATTTAAAAATTAAAATAGTATACATTTCTGAAGGAGGGAGAAATCCCACACAGAAAAAAACACCCATAAGAAATACATTTGAATCCGAAACAAATTCAGAGTTTTAAAAATGTTATAACATTTTTGAATTGGACAGAAATGACCAAGTGACACATGGCCCTGTGCTCTTCCCTGCCATGAGAGGTCTCATGCTTAAGCCTGAGTATTTGAGGCGGGAGGCCTGAGCCTCTTGTGATGTATTACTTGACAGCTTTTCCCTCTTTGAACCAGCTTCTTCTCTTGCAAAACAGTTTAATAATACTTGTCAACTCCTGAAATGCCTGGGTTTTGTGCTCTGAGTTAATTCACTGACAGGTGTTACCAGAACAATTTATCAATTGCTTTTAACTTCTTGACAATGAAGTAGTTGTTTCAGATTCTCAGAGATTATTCAAACTGAGGGAAGGAATGACCTGGTGATAGGGGATAAGTTTTTCAACCAAAGAGTCATGCTCATAATGGCTTCAGCCCAAAGTCAAGGAATATGTGGCCTTTTGGCTTTTGCATGGGTCTATTCTTCTGGCAGCAAGCTTCTGACACACTGTAAGCCTCTACAATAGGAGATCATGCTATTAGTTAATACCCAATTAAAATTCATCACACTAATTTATTATTCTTACTGCCTGTATTCTTCAACCATATCTGTCCTTCTCAACGTTTGTGTATGTCATATTTAAAAGGCTGAGAGTAATTTCAAAATCAAGTTGTCACTTGCAACAACATGGATGAACTTAGAGGACATTATGTTAAGTGAAATAAGCCAGGCACAGAGAGTTGAATACCACATGATCTCATTTGTTCTCAGAATATACAAAAGTTGAACT